GAATACCTCAAGCGTGAGACGGAAATGTTACGCCCCTCACCATACTGTTGATGCCGTGTCCGGCCGGAGCGACGAGACAAAAACATTAAAACCCATTACAAACGAGGCATTTGTTGCATCCAGTGGGGACATAATCACTGATTATAATGACTTATACTGTCTTTTTATGGTCGAGAACGGCGCGCCCGGGGAATTCGACGAAGGAGCGGCAACCACATGTGACGACCCCGGGCTGGACTCCGCTTCGGCCACGGTGAAAGCCGATCCGGCAATCCACAGCACTAAGTTGATGTATTCCCTCAGCGACCAGCACAGATCAGCTCTAGGCATGACGAAGCGGATATCGTCCTCTTTTGGAAGACCAAACAAAGTAGTTTTGCTTTCACAACGAAGCACACAGCGTCTTCACGACATGGCGGCAGCGGCAACAATACTACAGTGAGAATAAAAGTTACGCCTTCTTTCTTTGGGTGAACATTTGGGCGGCGTTATGCAAATCTTCCCACATAGTGAGGTAGATATGTGGGGGCGTGTTAGAATGAGCCGTTTTAGGTAGGCGTGGTTAACTCTTAACTTTTATAAAGAATATCTCTTTGGATTTGAGACTTTAGTCTTTGCAACTTTACAGATCTTCTTTATGCACCAAGAGCTTGTAACACTCCAAAGAGAAAGGAAAAATTGAAATCGCATCATATGACCCCTTTAATAAGTTCAATGAACAGTTATCTAGTGTCAAATATTGCGATTTATTCTTAAAGACGAGAGATAAATTAAAACATGTTTGACACCCTCTGGCTTGATGGAATTGTCATTTTAAGCCAAAAAAAATAAATCAGTCTGTGCCAGTCATACGCCACACAATGTTCTGTGAAATCTGTCATTAGTGTATTCCAGCCTTAAATAGATTTTAAAATGATTATCCTACTTATATGAAGTAAATTAAAATGTTTTTGAGAATCATTTACACCAAAAATTCTCTTCTTGCAAAATGAAAAAGGACGAAAATAAAAATACTACTCTTTAAAGCCATTTCAAAGCCAATGCCTAAATAGAGATACATATATCATCAAAAGATCTGAAAAATATCAGACATATCACCTAGCTGTATTATTGTGTTGTCCTGAGTTTATAAGTTCTTGCTGATATTCTGGTGCAGAATTTCAGCTCGTCCAGTCATTTCTATTGGCTTAAATAACACTATTGAGCCATATTTTACTGGTACCTATCACTACCACATCTAGCACTGTTGATATGACTGAAAAAAAAAAAAGAAATTCCCTTTTATATATGCATTCATCATGTCAAAACCTGAATGTAATTACAAGCTTACAATGACCTTAAAAGCTTAATTAGTCATGCAAACATTCCTGTTATTAAGCACTCAAATGCTTTGACAAATTTAATCCACTCAATGGGATTCCCACAACATAAAAAAGCCTGCTTTTCAAAAACATTTTCCTGATGCTGCACCCATGCCGTTTGCTTGTCAGTATAAAGTTCAAGACCAGTGTTGTATCAGCCAGTGAAAGAATTTACTTAAGAAAGAAGAAATTACTTCTAGTGCATCTTTACTCTGGTTAATAGCATGTACTATATTCCAAACGTCTGTTATTTGGAGCACTATTTAACAGGCCAAAAAATCAGTTCACTACTGCGAATAAAATGTGCACAGGTGGCTGGGCTGTAAATTACCTGGCGACAAAGTCTCGGCTGACGTCAAGGAAGATAAAGAAGCACTCATCGTTGGGTGTGAAGGCCCGGTGGGCTCGAAGGCTGCGGCGTTCCTCTTTAAGACTCTTCAGATCAATCACATGCAGGTCTATCTCCTCTGCGATGGGTGGAGGGGACATGGGGTCAGAGATCACACAGCCTGCTGGCCACGCTCGACTGTTTACGTACAAGTACCTGTGAACAGACAAACACGGTTGCCATTTTCCAAGATAATGCTTTGATTTCAGCAGGGTTTTCAGGAGTTGTTGTCCATGATTTCCATGACCTTTTAGGCATTTTATTTAAAACATTGTAGCGACTGATTAAGTAGAAATGAATAGACTGCAATGATTACACTTTATAAGTATCTATAAAGGTGCTGCATGTCCTTTTTTGACTCTACTTAAGAATAATATACCATAACATATTTCCAGGGATTTAGGAAACACTGCTGAGTCTGAGGAAGCGGGGGCAGGAGAAACAACACTCTCCAATATGTTGAATTTGGACTGCAGTACCCATTTTAATGGCTAGCTGTCAATATTACTTACTGCTCACAAAGTGATTCTCTTTTTAGAATTTGAAAGGCTGTATGAACTCGCTGAGTAAACTGCATTAGTCCAAAGTTAGTCCTCTACCGCTGAACAACACACACCTATGGTCAGGTGACAGACCCATGCCAATGATGTGGCCGTGTATGTCAATCACATGATCCAGTGAGTCGAAGAATTCATCCGTACTGCGCTCCTCTCCCAACACAGGACCACATGTCGTCATTTGATCAGGCATTATCCGCTTGATGCCTGAAACAAACAAACACAGCAATTCAGAAATCCGGGCATTTATGGAATTAGCAGGTGAAGTAATCATTCATACAGTGTCCCATTAGAGACATAAGCACATGCTCACCTATTTGGTGAGGCGAGTAGGTAAGGCTACCGGTGGT